ATTGCATAGGGTAGCCTGATCTTTCCCTTCTCCTTCTTCTTCTCCTTCTCCTTCTAGTTCTTCATCTTGTTCTGTTGCATTTAGCTGCTCTCCACCATTCTGCAAAGTGAACAGTAGAGAGTCCACTGTTCATAGATCGAACTGGTCTAACTCAAATCTAAATGGATTGGACTAGATCCGACTCAAACATAAATGAATTGGACCAAATCTAACCTAATAAAATAAATAAAAAATTTAAAATTTTTTTAGATATTATATTTTATTTGAAAACTAGTGTTTAATATTATTTAATTACACTATATTATTACATTAGAAGAAGATCGTATGATGATATAACATTTACAGAATTTAATCACAATCCCAGTTTTTTTCCTAATATCATTTTACCTGGTATTGTTGCACGTTTAGAAAGACATGAAAACTATAATTTTTGTCGGATGGATTTTGTACGCGATATAATTGTAAATAGTTTAATAGAACAATAAAAAATACTTTATATAAAATATTGTTAATTTTATGATATAATAGCAATAGTTAAATCTACAATATTTCAATTAAAAACTATCAATATTAATATGTCTTTTTTAGTTATTTTATAACATTAATTTGAAAAACATTATTAATCAAATACATTAAATTATTTTTTATTCAACTTTAATTACAATCACAGTTTTAATTAAACATATATTTTTTTCAAACTGAACTTAACTATAAAAATATTTTTTATAAAATAATTTATTTTTAAATTATAACAACTATTACAATATCAAATATACTCTTCAAACAATGTGGGGATGATATTATAGTTTTCTCTGATATAAGATTGTTAAATATTTTATATTTCTTTTCCTTTTCTTTTTGCTAATGATATATTTTCTTTAGATTTTATATTTCTCTTTTCTTTAGATTTTCACCACGAGTAGTTGGGAAAATAAATCGTTCGAGCAACGAAATGAAAATTAGGACTTTGTTGTTTCTAACCGAAAAAAAAAGTTAAAAATACAAATATTCATGAATTGGTGGAGTCTGTAAATGGATTTGATTTTAAAATAATAATTCAACGATCCATATGTATTTTTAATTTTTTATTATTATATATTTATTTTAAAATTCAACATTTCTCTCTTGATATTTTTTTTAATAAATGCTTATGTACCTTGTTAATAAAATCCTTTCTGAATTATCTCTTAAAAAGTATTTTCTTTTCAAGTGATTCTGTTTATCACTAACATAAAACCAAATGAAAATGAAATACGAAGTATTTTTCAACGCACAATTAATTTCCACCGTAAAAGATTAAATAGTTATAAGTAAATCATGGAAATTTTGAATTTTAAAAAATAGTTTGTTCTATTTTCTTAAATAAAAAGATGATAATTCTAGTAAATATTAAAAAAATATAGAGAAAATAAAATACATATCTCACCATAAAAATATTTATATATATATAATTTTTTTTTTAATGGTATTTATTTTTTAATAAATATAAAATATTTAATAAAATATCACTGATTATAATTTTATTTTTATTTTTTTTAAATCTCATTGTCATACTCATATGCGTCGTTTAAACGAACGATTGTTTCCCAAAGCCGTAAGTTAGTATCCTAACGGATATGCACAGGAACGTTACCCGCGTTTTTTAATGTCACTCCTCCCTCAGATTATCCCTATCAGAAACAGAAACCATTAAATGAAAAATAAAAAATAAAAAATAAAATCCACTCCAAATTCCAATTCCCATAAAAATCAGAATTCAAATCCATCAATTCCACTCTCCGAAAAATTCAAATCTCTTCCAACACGTTAAACACTACATGTTTATGGCTGCAATTTCTGCTACTGCCACTACTAGTGTTACTACCACCACTTCAATTCCTCCTCCTCCGTGGATCCCCGAAGACGACCTCTTGTTGAAAAACGCTATCGAGGTAAATTCAATTCCTCTTTTCTCTCAATCACATTCCACAATTCTCATGTTCTCTAAACTTAGATTTCATTTTCCCATTTCTCAAATTCACACCAAACCCTAGCTATCAAAATCGTTTATAAATTTGATTGTTTTTTTTTTGTTTTGTTGATTAAAGGCAGGTGCTTCGTTGGAAGCGCTGGCGAAAGGGGCGGTGAGATTTTCGAGGAAATTTAGTGTGCGTGAATTGAGTGATCGCTGGCATTCTTTACTGTATGATGATGATGTTTCGGCTAAAGCGTCTGGTCGAATGGTAGAGTTACAACTTTCTAATGTGTCCTTTTCCAAAGTAAATACTATTACTAGTAGCAGTAATAATAATAAATTTGGTGTTGCTGTGAAAGAGAGTGGTTCTGTGAAGAGAAAATTTGAATGTATTCGGCAATTGTATTATACAACGAGGAAGAAATTGCGGAAGCGTGGTGGTGGAGGGTGTGGTGATTTTTGTTTTCTTGATTCGCTGGATGGTGGTTCTTTTGAAGGGGGTGTTGGATTTGGTGGGAATGGCGGGTTTGGAGAGGATGATCGAGTGCGTTTTGGATTTGTTGGGGGAAATGAAGGTGGGGAAGGGGATGTGTGTTTTGAGAGAGAAAGTGTGCAAAGGGATGTGCAGGATGTTGAAGATGGATTCGTTAAGTTTCGAGATTCTAAGAGAAGTGAGGAACCTGGGCCATGTGGTGTGCCAGAAAGTGATGCTTTGATTCATGCAGGGCAAATGGAGTCTTTGGCACCAAGGGTGCCATTATGGAAAGGGATGGAGGATGTTTCTGCACCTAAAATGCCAGCGAGTGTGAATTGTAAAGGTCATAGTGAAGGGGATTTGATTGTAAATCATGATGATATAAATGGGTATAAAATGAGTTTGGTGGGAGTTGAGGTTGATCGCTCCAGAGTAGAGTTGCGTGATGAACCTGTATTTGATGTACGTGATAGGTCAACTGCAATTTCAGAATCTGATTTTCCAGATATTTCAGACTCGCTCTTGAACTTTCCAAATGACAATGAGCCACTTTTTATCGATGTTAACGGGAACGACGCTATAGATAAAGCTTGTTATGATAGCATTACCACTTCACTTTTGGTGAGTTCTCCTAATGATGTTCAGGGTGAAGTGCCTGATGTTAAAGATCCAGTGACGTTAGCCTCAGATACAAGCCTCGGAATACCTGATGGTGCATGCCCTGCAGAGTTAGAGGTTATTGCAGAGGAATCGCATTCTGTTGGTGGTAAGCAGGATATTCATTGTGTGTCAGAAATGAACGCACCACCATCTGCATCAGCACCAAAAGTTCTGTCCGCCGAAGAAAATGATGGAGAGATGGAGTGCACGTTGAATATGGAAGACTTTGAAATCCCATGCAATGATGATGTTTTCATAGTTAAAACAATTGCTTCTCCCATAATGGAACAAATTTCTAACCTGACTCACAATCTGCCTTCCTCGAGCCTTGATAAAAAGGATTGCAAACAAGAGATAATCTTGCTGAAGAAAGAAGGAATTCCTGCTCAATGTCTTACTTCTCCGCAGATGGTAGGTTGCAGTATGTTGCCAGTAACCAGTCCAAGACACCAAACTGTTTGCAGTGGTGCCAAATGCGAGTCTCTTGCTTTAATTTCTAGACCAGTTATCACAGCCCATGTAGAACCAAGCGAGGGCAGTGTAGCCTTGGGAGCTCCTACTCCCACAGTGGGACTGCCAAAGTCTGGGTCATTACATGAAAAATTAAGTTTGCCTATAAAAGTTATTTCAGTACCCTCAACATCAAATCAGGAAGAATCCGGGAGCGATGATGATGTTCCCTGCTTTTCAGACATTGAAGCCATGGTAAATTAGATTCTGTTAATTGATGGCCTTCTAAGAATTCTTTTTAAATACGTTTCCTAAACTTCAAATTTCTCTTAATTTTTTTTTTTTTTGTCTCCTTTCAGATACTTGAAATGGATCTATGCCCGGATGATTCAGATTCATTTTTTAATCACGAAGGTCAGGCAGCAATATTTGCTTCTTGTGTTACTTGATTGTGCAAACTCTACTGACCAAAGAATCACACGCTTAGTTATAAATACTTGCACACTAACCTCAGTAACTTTTTTAATTGCAGTGGTGATTGCTAATTAATTGAATCTGGTGAATAATATCAGTTTAGGATTAAACAAGAAAGACATTTTGATTCTTTAGTTGGACAATTGAGATAACTCTGCTATTGTAACTGTTTTTTGAAGTAACTTTGAGCTGATTTCTGTTAAATTGAACTTTCTAGTCTCAAGATATCAGAATGAAGATGCAATGAGGGCAATTATAAGGTTGGAACAGTGTGCTCAGTCTTCTATGCAACGAGCCATTGTTTCTCGAGGAGCACTTGCTGTCTTGTATGGGCGCCATTTGAAGCATTATATCAAGGACACTGAGGTATGTTAAATCAATGTTGACCTTTTCTTTTTCTACATCACGTGTCTGGGTCTGATCATTTATTTGCTTGTAGGATAACTCTCTTGTTCTTATGAACCTCCTGCTTATGTGTAGGTTATGCTTGGCAGAGCGACAGAGGATATGGATGTTGATATTGATTTGGGTAGAGAAGGGCCTGCCAACAAAATATCAAGACGGCAGGTGAGATTTCTCTTGAGTTTTCTTTGATTCTATTCTTCACTGATTTGAATATATAGCTGGTTACCAGACCTTGAGTTTATGCTGTTCTTTTTTACTTGAGGGAACTCTCTTTACTTTACAGTAATAACTTGTAGGAGTCATATATTGTTTATGTAGATATCATGGTCTGCGAGGCTCCATATCTGAACATCACTATATAAAACTCAAGGGAACATGGAACTGAAGAGGACATAGAGAAGAGGTGAAAAGAGTAGCAATAAAGGAATACAAGAATTCATCTGGGAAAAAAAATCCGTGGGGAATTGAATTTGTGTTATCTCACAATCTTTGAGTTTTGCAAAGGATCCTGGCCATTGTTTTCCTCACCTGATGAGCAATTTATAATTCAAAGATGATAAATACTTGGACGTAATTCAGATGTTATTAGATAATCTCTATAACTCTGTCTCAAGCTGAAATTTTTATAAAACTTGAAGTAGATAATTTTTTTTCTTTTGATAAATATGCACTGCCTATATTTGTTTTCATCTGAACCCTTTTTAGCTTCTTAAGATCCCAGGCTTTGATTTTCATCAAGTATAACTGATTATCTCTCATTTATCAGGCACTAATAAAGATGGAAGGAGATGGTTCTTTCTTTTTGAAGAATCTTGGTAAGAGTCCAATGTTTTTGAATGGCAAAGAACTTACTTGTGGACAGAGCATGGGACTGAGATCAAGTAGTTTGATTGAGGTATGCAGCTTCTGCACTCCTCATGTATTCAAGTCTGATAAGTTTGAAACTATTTTGAGTGGTTTTACTGTCTTATTGTCATTCATATGTTCTGTTGAATTTACCGTGTTCTTGCATCCTGAAGCTATTGTATTTCTTGCTTGGATTTGTTATTCGTGTGCAAGATAACTAATAACATTGAAATTGTTGAATCTTCAGATTAGGGAAGGATTTGTTATTCGTGTGCAAGATAAATAATAACATTGAAATTGTTGAATCTTCAGATTAGGGAAATGGCATTTGTCTTTGAAGTGAATAGCAAATCGGTGAAGCGGCATCTGGTGAGTGTCATCAAAAACCACAAAGAAAACAATTTCAAATCTCAATGGTCAGATAAAGGGGTAAACCACCGAGAAACAGATTTCAAGTTTGAATGGTCAGAAGGGGTTCCATGACCTGAGAAAAGTCACCACCAGGTTCCTTCATTTTTCCATCTTGAGCTTCTTAGAGCATAAAAAAAGTTTAACTGTTGTGCATCCCTTGTTGCTAGCATTTGTATTATCCAACCATATAATGTTTAGACAATGTCCTGCAGTAGAGATAATTAACAGATAACCATGTTATGTATATGAATAGTTGTGGATACCAAAATTAGAGAGTAAAATGGCTGGATGAAAGTGCCACTTCTCGTCAACTTTAGCCTTTCAATGCGGGGGGCAGTCAATGCTGATGCTAATGGTTCTACTTGCTGTTAGTATTTTAATCTGCGTATATGTGCACTGTATATGTCTTGTGATCGTATTTTATAGCACTGCACTAAAGAATCATGACATGGGGTGGGGGTTGTGGATTGCTTTTGAATTTTGGTTTCAGATATGGTTTTAATTGGTAGCCATTATCAGTAGTTCTATTTTGTTTTTTTCGATTACAAGGAGTTTTGATTGCATGAAGGAAACATGATGAGCACTGACATGATTATGAGAGGTCTCCATTTACTCGAAGCTGTACTTTTTACCTCAGTTTGGTGAAATTTGACTTTAACCAGATGGGAAAATGACATCACCAGACTGACGTACAAAACTAAGGCACACTAGGAAGTAACCCTAATGCATAATGCACTTGCTCTGCACTAGATGGTCACTAGCACAGTAGATTCCTTCTTGGAAGATCTAGAGCTGTGGCTTCTGACCGTAAACTTGTCCTTTTTGACCCACCGATCGCTTGTGTTAAAACCATTTCTGGGTTCCTTCCAACCAGTACAGATCACTAGGATAATGTTATGTTACTGTCTTACCTCTTTGGATGCAAGCTTGAGAGTTGTTTGCAATTCACGCTAGCCAGCACTAAATGCGACTCAATTACCCATTTTATTTATAATATGAAAGGATCCCCCACCAGCACCTACTTGTTTGATTGTATTACACTCAAACTTTGCCTTCACTTGGTTATTCTCTTGGAACCAAGCTTTTGACGCTATATGTCTTGCTTTGTGGGAGTGTGGCAGTGGCTGTTGGTGATTTTTAAAGTTTTTTTATTTGAAAATTTATTAAAATAATATTTTTTATTTTTAAAAATTTATTTTTGATATTAATGTATAAAAATAATCTAAAAAATTAAATATTAATTTGAAACAATAAAAAAAAAAAAACTTTTTAAAAATGTTTTTAATTAAATATTAATTTGAAACAATAAAAAAATTAAAAAAATAAAAACTTTTTAAAAATGTTTTTGAAACACAGAATTAAACGCATCTCAGAAATCAATCAAGATTCCATTCTATCTTACAAGAGGTACCAGCTTGCTTCCAGGCTTAAACAAGGGGAAAACATATTGGAAATTGAAAACCAAAAATCAAGATAGTAATAAGATGGTTCAGCAACGAAGGATTCTTTGAACTTGGTGGTGGCTTCGAATATGTAAAATTTCAATCGTATATAACTCACCAGCATTGAGCCCAGATTCCCATTCCATCCACCACCATTGAGAGTTCTTGCAACAACTGCATCGTATATCATTTGATTCCACCACCACCTCCACCGCCACGCAATTTGTCGTGATTGAGAACTGATTTGTGGTTCTAATACTAATCTAGATCATGCAGCCTTTGCCACTCTGTTATTCCCTTAATCCAAAGCAAATAATATGGGACCAAGATTTTTTGTTTATATTTAAAGGAAACCCAAGTGCTTAAAATCAATTTGGAAGTTAATCAAGAATATCATATTATCAAAATATCATAATCCACAAAACATTAATCCATGCTGCCTCTGCTATCAACAACAACAAGGTCGCCCATGTGACATAGGCATTAAAAAGTGAAAAGCAGAAGGGCGTTGGAACCTTGTATCTCTAAATTTTGAAGAAAAAAAATTATAATTGAGGTTGTTTTAATGTCAACGTTGGTATAATGTGTTAAAAATAATTTTTAAAAAATAAAAAAATATTATTTAAATATATTTTTAAATAAAAATATTTTAAAAAAAACTACCGTTGATATTCTAAACACGTTCTAATTCTGTAATGTACAAAATCTTTACACTTAACTCATGAAAAACTTTTGATGCACATGAATTTAACTCAAATTTAGAAAAGAAAATCCAGGTAAAAAAGCAAAAAATACTGATCCCTGCTTCAAATGACTTCAACAAATTTACAAGCATGTTCTTAATTTCCCTTTGTTCCCATCATTTTTATTTACTGCATTATCTTCAAGAAGGCATGGATGATGATGATGATGATGTGATATCAAGAAGACAAGAACCAACAGAGCTCAAGCTGGGACAAGTCAATTTAGGAGAAGACACGTCAATACATGAACGAACAGGAGTGTCCTTCATAACATCCAACACTCATTCACATACGATAACATAACCATCTTCTTCCATGGAGGCATACAACACCCATCCCAAATTTAAATACAAAGGAAACAATTAAAAAGGGCTCTGACAACCACCCCGTGAAGTCGCTAACAAAAAGAAGTAAACTCATCCCAATGGTGGCAGGAGAGTCCCTCTCTCTCACAAGCAGTTTCTTTCTTGCCTTCGCTCTGTCCTGATTCTCGCACTGAACGGCCTTGATTAACTCTCATACATTCTTCCCCACCCCCCCCCCCCCCCCCCCCTCCGAGTTATCTCCTTATCTGGCTATCTTCAAGTTTCAAATTTTCAGTTCCCACATCCACTTGTAGCGAAAAAACCAGCAAATGGGCACCCTCAGTTTTTCTTTATTTTCTTTGGTTCTGCTGATCTCAGTCACTAGGCTGCTGGTGGAAGTAGAGTCGAAGACATATTGGGGCGATATAGAGGTTTTGAAGGAGTTTAAGACCGCGGTGGACCCAAACTCTGTGAGTCCAGGTTCTTGCTTGAGCGCATGGGACTTCACTGTTGACCCATGTGATAATTTATTCAGTGAGAGATTCGCTTGTGGGTTCAGGTGTGACATTGTAGTGTCTGGTTCAAGCAGAGTCACTGAGCTCAGCCTTGACCAGGCGGGTTACTCGGGTACTCTCTCTTCCATTACTTGGAACCTCCCTTATTTGCAAACACTCGACCTTTCAAATAATTACTTCTATGGTCAAATCCCTAAGTCGTTATCCAACTTGACTCAACTGAGGCGACTCGGTCTGTCAAGAAACTTGTTCTATGGTGAGATACCCACCTCGATTGGCTCACTAAGTAGCCTGGAAGAGCTGTATTTGGACAACAACAACCTCCAAGGCAATATTCCTGCAAGTTTCAATGGTCTTGCTAGTTTAAAAAGGCTCCAGATTCAATCAAACAAGCTAATTGGTGAGTTTCCCGAGTTGGGTCCACTTAAAAATCTCAAGTATTTTGATGCAAGTGATAATGCCATATCAGGTGATGTCCCATTAGCATTACCAGCATCTTTAGTTCAACTCTCAATGAGAAACAATGGCTTACGAGGCAAATTAGACCCTCAAAGCTTTAGAAGCTTGGCTTTTTTACAGGTACTTGATTTGAGCCACAATAACCTCAGTGACTCAGTCCCTTTACCTCTCTTCACTCACCCTTCGCTTCAACAACTCACCATCTCATTCAATTTCTTCACGTCCGTGCAATCCCCACCACTCCCTTTAACCACAACTCTCCAAAGTGCACTGGTAGCCATTGATTTAAGCAATAATGAACTCAGAGGTTCTTTGCCTTCTTTCATGGCTTCAATGCCGAAGCTCTCAGCTTTATCCCTTGAAAACAACAAATTTTCAGGGATGATACCGACCCAATTTGCAATGAAAACGGTTTCACCCGGATCCGAATTGTCTCCATTCGATAGGCTTTTTTTAGGAGGGAATTACTTATATGGACCTATACCGGGTCCTTTAATGGAGCTCCAACCAGGTTTTGCTGATGTAAGATTGAATGATAATTGTTTGTACCGCTGTCCAGTTAGTTTCTTTTTTTGTCGAGGCGGTGATCAAAAATCACAAGTCGAATGTAAGAGTTTTAGCCCTTCGATCCCATGAATGCAATGCAATGTCACTACGTTAGTTTTTGTTGATAATAATAATTATTTGATTTGGGTCTTTGGTTCGTTGGTAGTTGTTAGCTAATGTATGTATGATTTGCTTGGTGTTCATATTGATAGTGTGGTAACGATGAAGTGGATTTTTTATTTTTATTTTTGACAAGAGGGGGAATCCGGTGCCACAAAATTATATATATATATATATATATATTTGATGTTTTTGTACTTCAAGCCATTAACAAATTTAATAAAATAATATAATACAAAAAACATTTAGAAAATTAACAAAATTTAAATAATTATATTTGATATCAACAATTCTCCCATCACAAATTTTATTTGCCAACTCTTTTAGATTATAAATTTGATGAACACAATACTTAAAAGGAGGGAGGGAGAAACTTCACTAATATTGTTATAAATATTTTAATGAGATAAATCTAATAAAAATAATAAAAAATCATTAATGATTATTAGAATATATCACATGAGCAGCCCACAAGTAAAGGCAGGCATCGTGATATCTCACTTCATTTACTATTTGTGATCTTTTATGATGTTGTTAAATTTATTTTGTTGAGATCTTTTGAATTATATCATTAATGTCATCAACGAAGCTCCGATGTGCCTTTAAATGACCACATTTGTTATGTTTTTTTTTATCTATTTTCCTTGTAATTTGTAAAGAGAGAGAAGAAAGAAAAAGATTTCGAGTCACATCAAAACTTTAATAATGACATTATTGATATTCTCGGAGTCACATCGAAATTTCAATAACGACATTATTGATATTGTTGGAAAGATTTTAACAAGATAAATTCAATAATACCAAAAAAAATCACAAAGAGTAAACAAAATGAGTCATATGAACTGGTCAAAGGTGTCAGGATTCACTTGTCTTATTCCGGTCACCATTGATGATCTTTTTTGGGTTTATTGGATTCGTCTTATCGAGATCTTTTTAATGGTACTGATAGTGTCATCATCAAAATTTTAGTGTAACTCCGATATCTTTTTTTTCCTTTCTCTCCTCCCTTTTTATTAAATATTGTGTTATCAAATATGCTATTTAAAAGAATATTCTATAAACTTTGTTATTTTTCTATATATTTTTTGCATGGTGTTATTTTATTATATTTTTTGTACTACTAAAAAAACACCTTTTTTTATATATATATTTATGGGACTTGGGGCATACGGGCATAAAGTTTTGTTTGGAAATGTAGGTTTACTTGCATTCTAGGTTATGTTTTATTTGATGTTGTGGTTCATCCAAGCTTTTTTTTATGCTTCTCCTTTATCACTCTTATTTCATGGAAAGCTTGGTTTTTATCAAAGCATTTTATTGGAGATGAAAGAAAAAATACGGTTGAATTTGGGACAAGTATTCAAAGGAATCTCACCCCTTTTCTTCTTTTACTTTTTCAATCTGCATTCATTAATAACACAAAAGGGTAAAAAAATTAACAAATTTTGGATTTTCCCCTCTCGGCCTTTATAACTCCAGGATCGAGTGAGTAATGGTTGGCTTCAAAGAGTTTTATCTCTCCTCCTTGAAGGGCCCATCGGGCTATTAAAAGCCTATTTCTTGAATTACACTAAAAAAAATAAAAAGATGACAAGACTGCGGTGAGCGTGGATCGAACACGCGACCTTCAGATCTTCAGTCTGACGCTCTCCCAACTGAGCTATCCCCGCAAGATGTTAAGGGTTTCAATTATTGTAAATAAAAATTTGAATTTATCATCATGGAAATGAACATTCATCAGCCGCCATGTTTACCGTCTCGGTCATGGACCGTCCTGGTCACTTCCCATCATCTTATCCATGGTATGAACATTCTTTGGCTTCTTTTCTAAGGATTATATATGGAAACAATTTAAATCATGGGTTATGCATAAACAATTTGGTAATTATGCTGTTAGGTCTTCTGCAAGTAATCTGATTGTATGCCTTTAGCTATATATACATATATAAAGGGTAAGTCCTGTAGATGGACAGGACATTAAATCCATGTAACTTATAACCTGTTTTTAATTTATCTTTTCAAATTATGGATTTAGTTTTCTATAAATCTATTTTTATTTTGACTTTTTCTATATTTGACATCAATAAAAGAATTGTACAAAGTGAAGAAATAACAATTAAAATTTTTAGAAAAATATTAATAATTGAAAATTTTCAAAATTTCTCAAACACATATTTATCAAAAATACAAATATAATATATTCAAAATAGATTTTATAATTAAAATTAAAAAAAAGAGATATTAAGTTTATAAAATCTTTTAAACTATCTAATTTTTTTAAAATATATCCTTACAAAAACATCTAGCCAGGAATTACAAATACATTCATATGAATTTAGTTCAAATCAGTATAAAATCACTTAAAAAAAAGATTTAAATAGTTTTATTCTAACTATCCTCCAAAATATTAAATTCCATAACTTTTAAGACTTGCTTCTAAGATTTTTTGAGTCTAATCTTTGTAATGATTTAGTATTTTTTTGTTGTTATCCAAACTTTATTATATTTTTTAAAGATAAAAATATTTTATATAGCATATTATTATAAATCAAGATTCATAATTATATTTTAGATTGACAAGAGTTTTAGTGTTAACAGAATTGATAGTGGTTTTTTATATTTGTATTTCTAGTCAAATAAATTGTTTGTCTATAAAGTTGAGATTATTATTTGTAAAGTTATTTTAATGAATAATGTATTTAATGTTTAATAGAGTATCAGATAAATAGAAAGCAGTATATATATATATATATATATATATATATATTTGTATTTTTAGTCAAGTAAATTGTTTGTCCATGAAATTGAAGTTAGTATTTGTAAAGTTATTTTGATAAATAATAAATTTAATATTCAATAAAATATCATCACTAGATAATTTACTGGTAGCAACGTGTGTGTGTGTGTAAACATTTTGTTTTGAGCTATGTTATAGGACAGCATGAAAAGTTCAAGTGCTTTTGATATACAGCCAAATTGAACAGGCTTGATAATAAGACAAACACAGATTCACGTGCCAAATAGTTGATCTAAAAGAAAGCCTATGTCTCTTGAGCCTGGAAAATCACTCAAAATGAGTGGCCTTTTTTGAAATTGGCTAGCTGGAAGCTTGACAAATGAAAGAAATCTCTTAACAGTCGACATTAGAAACTGAGGCTAAAGTATTTTATTTACTGGTTAAGAACTGGAAGTGCTGTGTAACATTTTTTTGGATGAATCACCATAGCATTCATGTATCTTAGTTACTACAGCACACTGACAGGATGCCACTAAAATAGCATAATCTTGACTTTGAGGCCTAATTAACTCAACCCAATCTCACAGGTGAATGGCTGTTTTCAACTCTACACAACCTTGCACTTCCCTCTTCAAGTAAATTGACCACAAGGGCATTACAGAACTATTGACCACCTCTTCTCCTCACTTTAGCAAGAGATCCTCGATCCTCACTGCTACAGATTCAAAACTGTCAATGGAGATTCCATGGCACACCAAAACCTTCTCTCTTCTGTTCCTTTTCATCTTTTCTACATTAGCCCCTTCCAAGGCATGCCACCCAGTTGATAAAGAAGCATTACTTGATTTCAAACACAAAATCACAGATGACCCGTCAAAACTGTTGCTTTCCTGGACAGTTTCCTCTGATTGCTGCACTTCTTGGGAAGGAGTTGCCTGTGATGCCTCAGGCAGAGTGGTCAATGTGTCTCGTCCTGGTCTTGTTTCAGACAATAATGACTTCATCGAAGACACATACATGTCAGGAACTCTGTCTCCTTCATTGGGAAACTTGTCCAGTCTTCAACTTCTAGACCTGAGTAATCTCAAGGACTTGAAGGGACCAATACCACAAGAACTTGGCAAGTTGTCGGTGCTTACACATCTCTTTCTTGATACAAACAAGTTCACTGGATCAATACCAATTACATTAAGGTACTTCTCTCAGCTGAAAAAGATATATCTTAGTGACAATTTTTTATCTGGTATTGTTCCTCCATCTGTTATGAAATCCTGGACTTCTGTCTCGGAACTTGGTTTATCAGGAAATGCTTTGTCAGGGCCAATTCCTCCAGAAATTGGTAAGCTGGTTATGGTAACTAAGCTTGATCTACATGAAAACAACTTTACCGGTAGCATTCCCACAAGCATTGGAAATCTTAAGAATCTCAAATATCTTGATCTATCTGAGAATCAGATAACTGGAAGCATCCCGCAGTCCATCGGTGGACTTGCTGCTTTGGAACTACTCTATGTCAATCAAAATCACCTCACAGGAAGGATACCATCTTCGATATCTGGACTTGTTTCTATGATATTCTGTCGTTTATCAGAAAACAAGTTATCAGGCAGCTTACCACCATCAATTGGCCTGCTCTCGAAGGTTCAAAGACTAATCCTTGAGAACAACAAGCTCACTGGAAAACTACCTGCAACCGTGGGTCGTTTAACTACTCTAACTGATATATTTTTCTCTAACAACTATTTTACGGGAAAGATCCCTTCAAGTTTTGTAAATTTACTTAACCTTCAAACACTTGATTTATCAAGAAACCGGCTCTCCGGCCAGCTTCCTCCTCAGCTAGCTAAGTTGAAGAGCTTACAGATTTTAGATCTTTCATATAATCCCTTGGGACTAGTTAGAATACCAGACTGGTTTCAGGAATTAAGAGTTTTCCAGCTTATGTTGGCAAAGACTGGGATTGAAGGGGAGCTTCCTCACTGGCTATCTTCGTCATCAATATCACAACTTGACTTGTCAAGCAATGCATTAACAGGAAAGCTACCTCGGTGGATTGGTAACATGACCCGTCTTTCATTTCTCAACTTATCAAATAATGGCTTTCACTCGTCCATCCCAGTTGAATTCAAGAACCTTTCACTTCTGATGGATCTTGATATTCATTCCAACAAGTTCAGCGGCCGCTTAAATGTAATATTCTCTAAAGAAGTCCAAGACCCGCTAGGTCATTTTAATTCCATTGATCTTTCCAGCAATATGTTCACTGGTCCAGTTGATGATGACATAGGAGAGAGA